ATCAGTGCCTATTTCGCTCCATAACTTTAAATAACAGGGCAGTTTTCCAACTAAAGTCTTTCTAATTATTAAATCTACTCTGTTGATCAAAATAACCTGTCCAAATACATGCTAAACTAACAAGTTAAATTTTATCATGAAAGTTGCACGCAGGACTTGCAATACTGTATATGCGCAGGCTCATGCCGCGTCAGACACCTGCGCCCGATCCCACCTCTGGCCTTCTTGACTCAATTTTGACACCGTACACAGGTCGGTTAGGGAAGAGCGGGTGCGGCAGATGCAGCGTAAGCCTAATAGCACTTAAAACCAATCCTCGCAAACGTTGCTGTCCCTCTACAACCATCATGTGGAGCCCACGGTGAGCATCGTAAAATGCGACGGTCAAAAGTTCATGCTCCCAGACAGCAAGGCCGCCAACAGTTTCTGTCCCGTCTTATTCCTGACTCGCGCCGGTATCCGCGGGTTCGCAATGCTGAATTCGTGTTCTTCCTCCACGGTATGAATAGCGATCTGACACAGTGGATGATCTCTCCGGACTGTCCGTTTATGCTCCATTATTCGCAAGCTACGTTATCGTCCGGTCTGCCCTGCATAATTGCGAGTACAGTTACGGGACGGAATTTGACAAACTACATCAGGCTGCCCAATTGCGTCGAGGCGGCCCTTTATTTGCCTGATATCTAGAAAAAAAGGTCTTTTTCGGAGAGCTAACAAACTTTTTCTTTTCTACTTATACACCCACATGGAATGTGAACTTTCGCTTGAATTCGCATGATAGTTGTTGGCGATACCCACAACGAACTCTGCAGCGATGCGTTCTGTTAGTTCTGACGCGTTCTTTATGTTTTCCACAAAGAACTGTCTTTGGGGGCAGTCTGGTTTCGGGTTCACTACGCTTATTTCGCATAAATGAATACTTATTCCGTAGTAATAAACCTGTTTTCTCACTACACAGTTACGAGACAGCTTATCCACATTGCACACGCCACATGGATTTTTTTTAGCGACCTGCAGTCACTTTTATTTTTATTTTTTATTTTTGTTTACTTCATTTTTAGTTTATAATTCAGTTTTTTTATTTTAAGTTTAGTTTTGTTTACTTTAATTTCTAGTTTAGTTTATTCTTAGTTAGATTAAGTTATTTTACTTTTACTTTTTGGCGACATGCGGTTGCGTTTTTGCCGTAGAAGCTACTGTGAGTTTAAAAAAAAAACTATCTTTCATGCTTTTAATTTAAGCTCTAAAATTCTGTGTAGAATCGGTATACGATTTTATCCAATTCGCGGGTATTTTGGGGCAGTTCTCGTTTCCTCTTGGTTGTATTTCTCATTTTAACCATCGCGCGCCAAACAGTAGGTTATTTAAATAATTATTTTTCTTATTTATACTTTTATACGCTTTTAATGATTTTTTTTTCTTTCCGTGATATGCCTCACCCGATTAACTACTGTTCCCAACGGTTCCGTAGTACAGATTTCTGGGGTCTTCGTTTGCAGTAGTAAGCCCGAAACGAGAGCAGAAGATGAACTCTTAAACATATACATGCTGCACCAATGAGAATTTTAAGCATAAAACGTGTACAACTATCCGCTAGATGGACTCTCCTCCCTCGGATGCCTGAAGCGCGAACTGAGGGCGAATGCACCAGTCTGCCGGATGGTCGCCTCATCATCGCGGGAGGACTGAGTCGAGGCAAGCCTCTCGCTTCCGTGGCCTGTTTCACGCCAAGTAGCACCTCAGAATATGCTGTCACTAACACAGGCAGCTGGCGACTGATTGCACCCATGGCAACTGCTCGCATCCGACCCGCTCTGATGGCTCTTCACGGAGGGGTCCTATCAGTAGACGCCCGTGGCGCCGTGGAGTTTTTAGACCCCCCAAGTGTTGGTGACTACTCTTCACGCGGCCAGTGGACCAGTATCCGTCTGCCCTGCAGCTCCACAGTTGGCGCACAGAAATCTCACACCCTGACTTTGTTCCAGAGGCCCGTGCTGGCACTCGGACAATCCGGCAACGTATATGTATTTGGTAAGTACATCTTGCGCTAGTCGGTATGTCTGATTAAACGAAATCGACAACTGCTAGTCACCTGAAACAGTCAGGTGATTGGGAACGTTAAGCTGAGCCTTTGCATTCTGAGTCCGCAATGTGACTCGTTAGTCAAGTAGCGTATGTCTTGAAGGTAATTACGGCTGCTTATCCACAGTAACCCACCGAAAAGGTGCCTGGTCCTTTTGTTAATAATAAATATATTTGGGGCTGTAGAAATATCAACAATGGCCTGATTTATTAAGGTTTTGGTAAATTGTAATTATTCATTTGAACCACTTGTGAAAAATTCGACGGCACACCCGGTGAGATTCGAACGCATGAGAGCAAGGGGAAGACTTAACTTCACCCAACGCTCAAACTACTAGAGTAACAAGGCCCTACCGAGAGTGTTGGTTGTAATAAAGTCATGCCTGACTCAGATCCCATTGAGTGGGAGTACTAGCAAGGTCATGAGTGGCTGGTGCGCT